CAAGAGACTGTTAGTGAACAGAGCCAGGGAACACTACATGATTTAAAACTAAGAAAGTCATATGTCAGAGTCTTTTCAATCTTTATGTTGTTTTTGTTAAGTGCCGTCGAGTCATTTGCAACTCATAGAGATCCTGTGTGCAAAAGCTCTGAACCCAGCTGTATCCTGTGCCAACCTTATTGTCTCTTACACGCCCACCGTCAGGACCCCAGTCACTGTGTCAATCCATCTCATCGAGGGTCTTCCTCTCCTGCACTGTTCTTCTTCCACTGTCCCAAGCATGATGTCCCTCTCCAAGGACTGGTCCCTCTTTGCAACATGCCCAAAGTATGTCTGATGAAGCTTCAGAATCCTTACCTCCAAGGAGTAACCTGGTTTCACCCTCTCTAGGACTAACCTGTTTGTTCTCCTAGCAATTCATAGTATATTCAGTAGTCTTCAATACTGCACAAAGGTATCAAGTCTCCTTCAATCATCCCTAGTCATTGTCCAGATCTCTGATACATAGCAAGTAATTGACAAGACTATGGCCTGGATCAAGCACACCTTATTCTCCAGACGGACATCATTGCTCTTCAGTATTCTGGAGAGATCCCTGACAGCAGATTTTCCCAATAAAATTTGTCTTATGCTTTCCCAGCTGCTGGTACCACGAATGTTGATTGTGGAGCCAAGTAAACAGAAGCTGTTGACAGTCTCAATCTCTTCACCATCTATCATGATGCTGCCAATTGGTGCAGTAGTGAGAATCTTTGTTTTCTTGGTGTACACTGACGAAATTATTCAAGATCTGAACTCTATGAAGAAGAATGTGACATCAGGATTGGAGGGAGACTGATCAATATCCTGCATTATTATGCAGGTGACATCCTTGCTTGCTGAAAGTGAGGAGGACTTGAAACACTTGCTGCAGAAGAGCAAACACTGCAGCCTTCAAAATGGACTGCATTTTAGCATCAAAAAATAAAGATTCTCATCACTGGAATGATAGATGACATCATAATAAACAAAGAAAGGCTTGAAATTGTCAACAACTTCATCTTACATGGATCCAGAATCAATGCACGTGGTACCAGCAGTCAGGAGATTAGGAATTGCACTGGGAAAGTGTGCAGTCAGAGATCTCTCCAAACTACTGAGGAGCAAAGATGTTCATTTGAGAACTAAGGTGCACTTGACTTCACACCACAATCTGTTCAATAACTTGCTGTGCATCTGAAAGCTGGACAATGAGTAAGGATGACAGAAGAAGAATTGATACGTTTGAACTGTGATGTTGGAGAAGAGCACTGAATATACCATGGATGGCCAAAAGAACAAACAGTTATGTCTTAGAAAAAGTGAGGCCGGAATACTTCTTGAAAGCAAGAAAAGAAAAGTTTTGTCTTGCAGACTTTGGGTCTGTTTCTAGAAAAGGCTATTTCTTGGAGAAGGACATGATGCTTGGAAAGGTGGAGGGGTGGTGAAGAGAGGAGGTCCCTCCACCAGATGGATTGACACAGTGACTTCAGCGATGGGCTTGAGGGTGTCAGAGATTGTGAGGTTGGCACAGGACGGGACGGGGTTCAGGTCTATTGTTCACAGGGGCACTATGAGTAATACCTGACTCTACCAAACCTAACAAGAACACCTTCAGGGTAGGGAAAGCCAAAGCTGGGAAAATGAATCATGAGTTGACCCAAAAGAGACAAATTCGTTAACTGACATGATAAACCACAGGGCCTCTGGGATGTGTAAACAGACAAAACAAAAGGGGGGGCAGAGACTACTAAAAAAAGGCTTTATGGGACATTATGCTGAGTGAAATATCTCAGTCACGAAAGGACAAATACTGCATAGTGCCACTAGGACTGACATTGGGGTTGGGGGGAGACTGAGAAAGATGGGATAAATAATGGAAACTGCATTGAAACAGATGAGGGAGGGAACTGTTTAAAAGGGATATGTGATTAGGTATTATTGTCATGACGGGAGTCCAGAATGAAGGCTGCATAGTGGAGTGTACGTGGGGGGAGGGACTGTAAAACAATGAAAGAATTTTTCTTTTCCTTTTCAAAAAGAAGAGTGTACTGGGGGAGGAGGATGGGCAGGGAGAAAAGTACAACAGTGAATGAATGGAAATCCAAAGTCTCTATAAGCTTTCATTAAAATTAATAATAATAATAATAAATTTAAAAAGACTCTGTGAAGATGTCAGCACATCACCCTGTTGGTGAATGTAGTCTCTTTGTGCCATCAAGTTGGAACCAACCCCTAGCTGACCCTCCAGTGGGTTTTCAGGGGCAGTTAATCACTCAGGAGGAGATTGGGCACCCTCCCAGAGTAGTCAGCTAATGAGGAATTTGGGGAGCCTTTCTAGTGACCTAGGAGGATAAAAACCCTTGGTGGACTGTGGAAGGCAGTCAGCCTCCTCTTTGTCTGGACTTGGGGGCCTGATTTTGCGAATCACTTAATGAAGACTCACTCTCACCAAACTGAGTTTGGATTGGATTTCAGGAAAACTCATCAAGGCCATACTCCAGATAATTTTAATCAGCCAACTCATATGGGATAAGAGGGCTGGAAGACACCATTCCCAGCTAGGAAATCAGCTTTACTCAGGGAATCGATCATACTGACACAGGCTGCCTAGAGAGATTGGCACAGGGTCCTGCGTACCAGCAGCATTTGTCACCAGGTAGAACCATGGAGGAAATAGACCTTGACTGGGATACACACACAATTTTGGGTTAAAAAAGCTAAAAAGCTTGCTTCTGAGGTTCCTGCCCCCCTGACTTGGGTGTCATTCAGAACATGCCCAGACAAGTTCCTTGGTTCTACTGTCAAGCTCTAAGCTCAAAGGAAGCCTGCCTAGACTCAGCAGGTGAAGGGCAAAGCCACAGGTCTGGTTTGCTGGTCCAAAAAGAACTCAAATGATGTCTGAAACCAAGCCAAGACTCGAAATGCAGTTAGGACTCCGCTGTGGAACTCAACATTCCACAGACCAGCTGGTTCAGAATTGAAGCTCTAACACCCAAAACTACCTCAAACGGAAACAGAAAGTTGTATTCAGAAGGTGCCCAGCACATCCGCTGATGTGAAAATTTCCATCAGTCCTCAGGGCACTATCTCAGCAACTCTTGAGGACTGGTGAGTCAGTGTGATCGCCTGACCACAGCCCACACACCACCACCTCGTCCCTGCCCTGTTCCCACCTGAAGATGGTGCCTTCTGGCCACCTTATCACATAAGAGTTTATCCATAAGTTACCCAGGATATTGGCCAGACAAGCTTTCCTGAAATCCAAGCAAAAGTCCTTAGCAATAGGGAGGCTTCTTAAACAATTTTACAAAATCAGGCCCCAAACCCAGCCAGACAAACAATCAGACGGGGGCACTTTCCACAGTTCAAGAGTTTTTATTCCTCTAGGTCACAAGTTCCTCCCCCACTCCTTATTAACTGAGACGAATTGCATTAGATAAATCTGCTGTCAGGGATCTTCCCAGAGTACCAAGAAGAAATGATGTCAGTCCAGAGACTGAGGTGTGCCTGATCCAGGCCATGGTCTTTGTGATTACTTGCATCAGAGAGCTGGATGATGACTAAGGATGACAGAAGAATTGATGCCTTTGAGTTATGGTGCTGAAGAAGAGTGTTGAACATACCATGGACTGCCAAAAGAATAAACCTGTCTTTCCTGGAGAGGTTGAAACCACGTTGCTCCTTGGAGACTAGGATTTTGAAGCTCCATCTCACATACTTTAGGCATGTGGCCAGGAGGCATCAGTCCTTGAAGAAGGACATCATGTTCAGAAGAGTGTAGGAACAGTGCAGCAGAGGAAGACCTAGAGGAAATGACTGACACAGTGACTGGGTAATGGGGGGGTAAGTGCGTCAGTATCAACTTGATGGAAGTGAGCTTGGGTTTGGTGATATAATGGCCAAGTGTGCGCTTACAAGAGTTATTTCACCTCTGGAGCTCTGTAATATAGATGTTCGCCAAACTTTAAAAAAACAAAGAAATGCATGCATAGACAAGAAACTTTGTAAGAATGGGACCAAAATGTTGTTGCTGGACAATGAATAGGGATGACATAAGAAGACACTGAACATTCTATGGACAGTCCAAAAAACCAACCTGGTACATCTTAGAGAGGGTGCAACCAGAGTGTGCTTTGGAAGCAATGATGATGAGGCTTTGCCTCACATACTTTGGATGTGTTGCTAGGATGGCCTATTCCTTAGAGAAGGACATGATGCTGGCAAGGGTGGAGGGTCATTGAAGGAGAGGAAGACCCTCAACCGGGTGGATTGGCATGGCGACTGCTGCAATGGGCTCTTGTGAGTCAAGAAGTGTGAGGATGGCGCAGGACAGAACAGGGTCAGATCCACTGTTCATAGGATTGCTATGAGTCATATTTGACTTGACGGCACCTAACAACACAGCAACATTGTTGCATGGTGGAGGGACTTTTCTTCCTCTTTTATACTTTTCTAATGAGTTGGGGATGAACGGTGAGAGAAACTGGAGTGTGGGTGGCAGGGGTGTATTGAGAGACCAACAGTGGGGCCCCAAGTAAGAAGTCCTTCATGTGTGCCACCCCGCTAGCGTCACATTCTCCTCTCTCACGGTCCCCCCCCCACCATAACCTGCAGGGAAGAAGAGCCTCTGGGGTCCACGGCACAGCTCCTAGCTGGGTTCAGGTTGACTACAGATTAAGCTTTCTCTCCCTTCTGCCCACAGAAATCCAATGGACAGATTGGATCCAAAGACATTCTGCACCACATTTTATAACCACTATAAGAAGCAGAAGAAAGCATACCTGTGCTTCGGGGTGAACAGAGAAGCTCAGCCCTACCCTCCCTTCCTGTTCTGTGGAATCTTTCAAAACCAGGTGTCCACCAGGTTACAGTCACCGTAGGCAGAAGCCAAGCCAGCTAAGAATCTGAAAAAGAATAAAAAGCTTCTAGGGGGACATGGGTGCTCAGAATGCTTGTTGAATGAATGAATGAGAGAATTCATGGGTGAGTTTGTGAATGAGGTGAGGAAAGCCAAGTTGAACTCCAATGCCAAAGATCTTGCACCGTGACCCTCCGTCAGGGTTCAAGAGGAGATGGCTCATCTTCTGAGGAGCACCTGGTGGATGTGAACTGCTGACCTTCTGGTTAGCAGCCATACACCCTGCATAGTAATGAACTGTACCGCTGGGGTTCCTTAATGCATGGGGAAGGGAGGAGCAAATAGAGGAAGAAGGAAGGAGGAGTGGATGAATGCAACGCCTCTTTTCCCCCCACCCCACCCTAGGGGCTCCTGCTGGGTCCTTTCTCCTCGTCCTCTCATGCCCGCCTCCTCTCCCTGCCTCTGCTTCTGTGCCCAGGTCCATGAGACCAGACTCCACTCGGAACTGCTCTTCCTCCTCCGTTGGTGGTCCCGGGAGTGGCCCCAGCAAGAGCGCTACCTGATCACCTGGTACCTTTCCTGGAGCCCCTGCTGCGAGTGCGCAATCCAGGTGGCTGACTTCCTGCGGCAACACGACAACCTGAGCCTGCACATCTTTGTGGCCCGCGTTTATTACTCCCGGAAGCCCGAGATCCACTGCGGCCTCCACAGGCTGTGGCAGGCCGGGGCCTCGATCGAAATCATGAGCCTCCAAGGTGAGAGGCGCTGTGGGGCTGCCGGCAGGGATGGGGGCGGGGGGAGGACAACAGAGGGATAGGGCTGCTGTCAACCGGGATGAAAGGGTGGCTCTGACAGGCGAGGCCAGTCAGGAAGGTCCTCTCAGACCTCCCCAGCCGTTGTCCAGAACTGCCCCGAGGGATTCCTGAGGCTGTAAAATCAACCACCACCTCCTTCTCTCTGAGAGATTTGAATAGCTGACCTTTCTGTTAGCAGCTAACCTTTAACTGTGGTGCTATCCAGACTCCATGGAAATAGTTTTTTTGGTGTTTTTATACCTCAGATTTTCAAACCTGTATGGGAGACCTTTACTGGCCTTGGTGAAACCTAGAGGATTGCAGTGAGCGTGGGGACATGCCAGGGGGGGCCAGGAGCAGAGGGTGAAGGCCACAGGCCTGCCGGGAGCGGGTTCTTTTAACTCAGACCTTTATAGGGACCCACGTAGGGGCACAGCCAGTTTCTCCTGTGGAGGCAGATGTGTATCGACCCTCACCCATTCTATGAGCGTCTAAGAACAGACCACTGCCTCCAGGGCTCTGCAGCGATGGTATGTATCGTGGTTGTCTTTCTATCACAGACTTTGAAAACTGTTGGGAAAACTTTGTGGCCCATGGGGGACAACCCTTCCAGCTTTGGAGGGATCTGAATGAAAACTGCAAGTACTGGAACACTGAGCTCACACGCATTCGCAGGTGAGGGGCATCCTCTGGGCCTTGGTCCTTCTCATCTGCATCTCGTACCCATTCCCGTCTCTGACCATGTTGACCTCCTTCCTAACCCTGTCCTCAGTGGAGCTCACCACTCTTGCTCTCTTGACCCCTGACTCTTTCTCCCCAGGTCTCTCTGCTCTCTGTTACTTGGAGGGGGCCCCCTTTCTTATTCCTGACACCTCAACTCCCAGGGTCTCACAGAGCCCAGGCCTGGCTCTTTCCACTCCATCAATGAACCAAATCTCACTGTTAAACTGAAAGCCAAGTGTGGGACCTGTCTAAGCAGGGAACTCTGGGAACATTAGAGAAACCTCCATAGAGACATAGGGCATCTTCAGCAAATAGGACCCCTGGGAATGACTGAGAGGAGCAAATGAGGAAGGACTTAGGGCCCCCAACTGTGTGTCATCTTCTAGAGGATCCCTGCTCTGGCCTTGACACATGCCAGCCATTCTAGAACCTTCTTACACTCTTTGACCCCACCCTGCCCTCCTCCACTCTGTCCATCATCAACACTGCACCCTTACCTTGGCTTTTTCTTTATCCCATTCCCAAAATGCTCCTAGTCTTGTGGCGCTGGGATGGGATAGGGCTTAAGGATGTGGGTGGAGAGTGAGAGAATGGAAACTTAAATAGCTATGTTACCCTTTAAACAATTTTTTAGAAAAAAGTAGACTTGGGTTAAATGAAACCTGAGATCATTGGATCTTTCTCAAACTACAAACTTGTTTTCAGTTGCCATCAATTCAAGTATGACACTAGCCGCCCGAGGAGTGACAGATCTGAACTCTGTCCTGTCCTGTGCCGCCCTTCTCATCTGTGCCACGCCAGAGTGCCTTGTTATATTCACTGTGCCAATCCATCTCGTTGAGGGGTTTTCCTTCCCTTGCTGATGCTCCACTTTTCCAAGCACGGTGTCTTCCTCCAGGGACACGTCCCTCCTAATAACATGCCCAAAGTATGAGAGACTAAGTTTAACCATCCTTTCCTCTAAGGAGCATCCTGGCTGCACCCTCTCCAAGAACTATCCGTTGGTTCTCTTGGCTGTCGATGGGATATTTAGTGCTCTTCTCCAAGATCTTAACTCATAGGCATCAGTTCTTCTGTTATCTTTATTCATTGTCCAACTCTCAGATTCATAGATGTTCAAGTAAATTAAAAGGTCGTGACTTGGATCAGATACCACCTTAGTCTTTAGGCTGACAACCTTACTCTTCAGCACTTTGGAGAGGTCCCTGACTGCAGCCTTGCCTAATACAACACATCTTTGATTTCCTGAACTGCAGAGTAGGAAGTTGAAAGGACCCTGCCCACCCCCCACCCCTACTTCAGACAGAGCAGTAAGAGGGCAGCGGGGACAGCATGCAAATAGGAAATGAGCTTTTTTGACCCCAAAAACAAATATAGTGAGAACGAGGAGAAAGAGGAAGCTAATGAGGTTCAAAGGTACCAGGCAGGGCTCTGGGGACAGTCACCCACTGCCATCCCCCAGCTAACACCAAGATGCAGCCAGAACTCAGCCTAATAGGCTGTGACCCCAAGCAGGCAGACACAGATGAAACAGAAGGAAAGTATTAAGTGTGGAAAAATCCGTAAGATCATTCCGGGGAGCATGCTGGGAGGATGCCAGCTGCTGCCCCTCCCTTAACCACTGTCCTCAGAACCCCCCCCCCATTGCTACTAGAAAGGTCTCTGAATACAGGAGCAAGGCCAGAACCAGGGTTCTCAGCTGCTCCAAGTCTGCCTCACCTTCTCTGGGCTCCTTTCCTCCAAGAAGGGAGACAGTGAGAACCCAGATTGTCTGCGAACCACGATGTGTAACTGACTCGACCATCAAAACCAGTAAGTCAGAGTGGCCAGGCCAGAAGGGCTCCTCCTCCTCAGGATTTGGACAGAGCTGAAGGCCAGCCCCAAGGGCCACACTGACCTCCCTGACGTTCCCTCTATGGCAGTGAGTGTCCTTTTCCCAGCACACCGCCATTCTGCCTGGACCCAGCGGCTCACAGTGATGTGTCTCCTCGAGGGACCGCCAGGCCTCAGTAGGAGCATGCTGACCCTCAGGAAGGCCAGCATGGCTGTCCAGTCTCCCTTCCTGTCTGGAAGAGCAATGGAATCGAGCACATCAGAGATCATGAGCTTGGTGCAGGAGTGGACAAGGTTCGGATCCGTTGTTCGCGGGGTCACTATGAGTCATCGTCGACTCGATGGCACCAAACAACAAGTCCAGAGAAAGCAAGTGAGATGCTGTTCTGTGTGACATGTAAGGCTTCTGTGGGCTAATTTTGAGAAGTGGATCGCCAGGCCTTTCTTCCTGGTCTCTTAGTCTGGAAGCTCCAGTTAAACTGTTCAACCATAGAGGGCTCAACTGATACTTCAAAAACCAATAACACAGCTTCTATCCACATAGCAACACACAAGTCAGTATAATTTGACTGTATGGACCATAACAAAGCATGGCTAACATTGAGAAGACTGGGAATCCCAGAGCACTTAATTGTCCTCATACAAAACCTATTCCTAGACCAAAAGGCTGTTGTGAGAACAGAGCAAGGAAACATGACATGCTTTAAAACCAAGGATAGTAGGCCTCAGGGTTGTATCTTTCACTATACCTTCTCAATCTGTCTGATGAGCAAATTGTTAAAAGCTGGACTCTGTGAAGGAGAATGTGACATCAAGATTGGAGGAAGACTCATCAATAACCTGTGTTATGCAGATGACATACCTTGAGGGTTGAAAATGAGAAGGAATTTGAAGCACTTGCTGCAGAAAATCAAAGTCTACAGTCTTCAATATGGATTACATCTCTATGTCAAGAAAACAAAAATTCTCACCACTGGACCAATAGGCAACATCATGATAGATGGAGAAAAGATAGAAATTGTCATTGACCTGATCTTACATGGGTCCACAATCGATAATACACTTGGTGCCAGCATTCAGAGATCAGGATACATACTACAATGGGAAAGTCTGTGTTCAGACACCTCTCAAAATTATTGAGGAGCAAGGATGTTAGTTTGAGGACTAAGGTGCACCTGAGTCAGGTCATGGTCTTTTCAATCACTTGCTATGAATCTGAGAGCTGGACCATGACTAAAAATGACAGAAGAAGAATTGATGCCTTTGAACTGTAGTATTGGTGGAGGGTGCTAAATCTCATGGATGGCCAAAAGAGCAAACATGTGTCCGGCAGGAGGTGCATCCAGAGTGCTCCTTGGAGGCAGAGATGGTGAAGCTTTGCCTCACATACTTTGGGCGTGTTGCTAGGAAAGGCTATTTCTTGGGGAGGGACATCATGGCTGGAAAAGTAGAGGGCTGGCAAAAGAGAGGAAGACCTTCAGCTAGTGAATTGACTCGGTGACTGCAGCAATGGGTTCAAGTGTGTCGGAGACGGTGAGACGGTAAGGATGGCACAGGACCGGACGAGGCTCGACCAATTGTTCACAGGGTCGCTGTGAGCCGTATTTGACTCAATGGCACCTAACAACACTAAGCTCACAGGTAGATGAGTGATGGGCCGAGTCAAAAACAGGTATTGTCTATTGTCTGTCATTTCAAATAGATTAGCCTAGAGCATCCTAATTTATCAAAGACTGAATGGTCTCCCAAATCCTGAGACTTTTTAGTATTCAAGCAAACCTTTGAGAAACATAAATGAGTGTTTTCTAAATAGTGTTGTGGTTATCAGGAATCAAACAAGCGGTTTTGTTAATTGTTGCTGTTGTTGTTAGTTGCTGTCAAGGTGACCATGACTCTGACCCTGAGCAATAGATCTGAACCCTGTCCTCTCCTGTGCCGTCTCCATCATCTCTGACACACTCAAGCCCACTGCTGCAGTCACTGTGTCAACCCTTCTCACTGAGGGTCTTCCTCTCTTTCGCTGACCCTCTGCCTTTCCAAGCATGATGTCACTTTCCAAGGAATAGACTCTCCTAACAGCATGCCCAAAGTATGGGAGACGAAGCTTCACCATCCCTGCCTCCAAGGAGCACTCTGACTGCACTGGAGCTCCGGTGGCTTCGTGGTAAGGAACTGCTCTGCCAACCCAAAGGCATGTGTTCAAGTCCCTCAGCTACTTCTCGAGACAAAGATGGCTTATCTCCTCTCGTGTGATTTACTGCCCCTGAAAACCCATTGGAGGGTCAGCAGTGGGTCGGTTCTGACTGGACAGCACACAGCAACAACTACTATGTTAACGAGAGCTCTGGTTTGCAGTCCATAAGGAGGGACCACGCTAAGCCCAAAGCCAAGCCTCTGTGACAGCTTGACCCCACGAGCTGCTCCACAGGAGAAAGGTGTGTGGTCTCCTCCTGTGTAGCTTACAGCTCCGGAAGCCGATCAGAGGTCGGCCAGGAGCCGCTTCCAACTTGAGAGCCATAGATTTGGGTCTTGCTTAGAAACGGTGTTAGAACAATCAATAAGAGTGCATCCAAATTCCAAAATCAATCTCCATAATAGTCTATGTGTTTCCTACTGCCAAAGGGGCCCTTTAGAGTAGTAAGAGAAGATCTTCACCCTGAAACCCACAGCGTCCCTTTTCAGCAGGAAGTAGCTAAGAGAATACGCCCTCCCCTTTTCCTTATGACTCAGTGTGAAGTCTCTCTCAGGGAGGAGTGATAGGGAATGGCAAAGGACACACTGACAAAGAAGATTAATCAGAACTGGCTTTGACAAGCACTGTGGCATTTGGACAAGAACAAACTGGGAGGAGGATAGAGAGAATAGTGCAACAATGAATGAATGGAAACCCAAAATCTCTGTAAATGTTTATGAAAATTAATAAAATATAATTATAGAAAAAAAAAAGAAACGGTGTTAGAAATGGTTTTAAGGGTGGAATGAGTGGTGTATCAATCCAGTTTTGTACCCACGGGAAGCAGCGAGGTGAAACTCAGCCAGCCCTTAGTGCCCTCGTGAAACCCTCCCCAGTAATCTCAGCCAACAAAGAAAGAAAGGACCATCCTGACCTCACCCAGGGGAACCAGGAGTGACAGGAGCCTGGAGGGACCCCTGAGGGCACTCTCTGAATCTTATTTCCCCCCCCCTTCCTATTACACAGTAACACAATGGATCTGCTAACAAGAGAGATTTTCTACTCACAATTTAACAACCAGAGGCAGCGGCGGCGGCGCACACGACCCTACCACGCGAGGGACGCCTACTTGTGCTTCAAGCTGCACGGCCTATCCCTGTCCCAGCCCATCCAACGCTGCTTTCATTACAAGGTGCCAGGCGGGCTCTCTGGGCACAGGATGTAGGACTGAACCCAGGGCCTTTGCAAGGAGCAGACATGTAGTCAGAGCCTAGAAGTTTCTCTCTGCTGTGGCAGTTTGCTGTATCTGCTGTGTCTGCGACTGTGGACTTTGCAGTATAGACAAAGCCCCTGGAAGTAAATCCAGGTGGTGGCTGCTCTCTAGTAACTCAAGGTCCAACAGGAACAAGGTCTGAACCAAACCAGTCAATGCAACATGATGGACCGAGGAGCACAGAGAACCAGGGCTCAGAGGTCGATGGCCTGATGTGCAATCAGGAGAGCCTTCCTGGAGGAGGTGGCCTGTAGAGCAGATTTTACAGCAGAGGGCATGGTGTGGGAAAGGTTTGGGCCTAAGAGGCAGCTGAGGTGTGTGTGTTATGCAGAGAGGGAGTGGATCTCGGGGAGGAGACACTAGGGGAGACTTGGGAGGACTGTAAACCATTTGAGGACATGTATAAAGGCCACAGTGAGATACTCAAGCAGGACCAGGAGTGCCAGGAGCCGTGGAGGAAGGCCTTGGGCAGGCTTGTCCCTCCTGCAAACAGCCTTTGATGACCAGGCAACTCCAAGTGGCCTCGCCTGGTCCCATGGAGCAAAGCCTGGCCTTTGGGTGCTGTGCTGTGCAGATGCCAGGCCACAGCTCCTCTTGGGCAGGTCCTGTCCTGGTCTTGTCCAGGGCAACCACTGAACTCCTATCTTTCTGCTTCTTTCCTGCTGGCATCTTGCTTGAGCAGGGGGGTTATTACCTCCCCATTTCACAGATGAGGAAACTGAGGCTCTGGCTGTCCCAACTCTGAGCCTCCTCTGTAAAATACTAGCAAAACTGTAGTCACTCCTGGTGCCCCCCCACAACCTTCCTGACACAGA